TTAATTTCACCTTTTAAGTTGCATTACTGAAATAAATGAACTTTTGCATGATATTCTAATTTTTTGAGTTTCACCTGTATGTAGCACTTAAGCTTTTGAATTCCTAGCTTCATTCCAAAATTCAGAAAAGCACGGAATGGGCATATAACTATATTGAGGGGGAAGAGGGAGGGAGGGAGAGAGAGAGAAAGAGAGAGGGAGGGAGGGGGGGAGGGGGGAGAGAGAGATGGACAGTCAGACACATGAATGATCTTGAATATATATTATTAAGTTAAAAATGAACTAAACCAATATGTCCCTTTCCCTGCTATCAGGACAGAGGTCATTCTGCTCCAATCATTCAACATACAAAATGATCTACTGGCTTTGCTTAACTCCTGTATTACCAGTGGTTATCTTGGTTGTCAAATGGGCCTCTGGGAAAGTCTAAATGATATTATATAAAAATAATATGCCCTACAAAATGCTTTGTTCCTGGTTAATTAAGAGAAAAATGCGAAGTTAATTTTGTTTCTGTATTTGCATTGGAGAAGTGAAGATAAGGTAAACAACCAGATTTGGACTCCAGAAATCCAGACAATTACTACATGGAGGCAGAGAGATAATTTACATGTATTGCTCTACTGTAGTGTAATAGCTATCTGGATTTTCTGCAGTCCAGATCCGATAGTCCTGAATAACTATGAAAGTGCTGCCTAGAAATCCTCAACTATTCAAACTCCAATATTCCCATGAAGTGAAAGAGCTTGTATATTATAGAAGAAATAATCTATAACATCAGCATAAAAACAAAATTTCAGGAACTACTCCATAGTATAAATTCTTGTCTGACTTTTGGGACATTAAAAATGAACAAAACAAGTAAGACAAAATTAATGGGGGGAACCCAATTAAGTGGGAAACTTCTGTTTTGACATCCATCCATAACCTGCATGCCAGCCCTCCTATTATTTGCAATGATAGGTGTACTTGCAAGTTACTGATGTTCCCTAGCCTTAGAAAAGTTTCTAATGCAGGTAGTCCTCGACTTATAATTTGTTTAGTGACTGTTCAAAGTTACAATGGCACCTAACAAAGTGACTTATGAACGTTTTTCACACTTACAACCACTGCAGCATCCCTAGGGTCACCTGATCAAAATTCAGATGCCATCCTCGCACCTTGCTAGCTAAATGTAGGAACTCGTGAATGTACCCCCTAACTGGCCTTCCTCTTCGCTTGACAACCAACAGGTTCCCCTCCGCCTGTAACAACCTAGTCCCGTCCTCAAACCATTCCTGCATAGGAGATAAGAAGAGGCCTAGGTCTCCCAGTTCTGCCGCATGGTCACCATAAGGTTCGGCAACCCACTCTGCAGCTTCATCCTCCATAGCTACCATTACAGCCATCACTCAGTCCCACTGACTCATATTTATGATGGTTGCAATGTCCGAAGATCACGTGATCAACTTTTGCAATCTTCTGACGAGAAGTCAATGGGGAAGCCAGATTCACTTAACAACCGGGTTGCTAATTTCACAACTGCAGTGATTCACTGAACAACTGTGGCAAGAAAAGTCATAAAATGGGGTAAAACTTACTTAATAAATGTCTCACTTAGCCACAGAAATGTTGGGCTCAATTGTGGGCGTAAGTCGAGGACTACTTGCGTAGCCAATATCAGCCCACAGCAAATGGCTGCTAGCTGGACTGGATGGGGAAAGCAAAAGAGCGTCTTGCCTCAGAATAACTGAAGCTGCCACTGACACATACCGTCTTCAGAGTTTCCATTGCCTTGCATTAGAGTTAGGACAGATTGGTAGCAATAGAGACTAAGCTGAGCATTGGTTTAGGGAGCAGAAGTAGGCAGAGGTCTTGCTAATTACAGAAGGACATGTTGCAATAACCCCGGGAAAGCTATAATGATGTAAACTTACAACAGTTAGAATAGAATACAGCCAAAATACTTAATACTTAATCTACCATGGTTGTTAGTTTACAGCTATAGTTAGAAATAACAAGACCAAACTATTTCTATTGCAGAAAGTAGCAGGAACATTTTTCTACTGGCACTATGAAGAGAAGAAGACCAGAAAGATTATTCTTTTCACAAAGCCCATTACTCTTCTTTGGCAATTCATGTTTGCTCCCTTACCTGTGGCGTTAGGAGGGGTGTTCAGGATTGTTTTCAAAAGCTTCATGTCTTTAATGTTATGAATATAAATAGATTCTTCCAAGCAAACAATCAGTCTCTGCAAGGATAAAAAAAATGAAAACAAAACTCTTGTTATTTAGGCATGAGAAAGACCCCAAGTGCTGCCAGATCCCATTAGGGCATTCCAGAAGGATTCGGTCACAGGATAACTCAAACTACCTTCGAGGGAGTGAGTAGGAGGAACTTCTAGTTCTACCACTTTTGATATGCATTGCATAATTGTATCATTTTTTTTCCAGCAATTTTTTTGTGTGGAAAGAAAGATGATTATAGAAGTGATAGGTAGAAACAAGACCACAAACAGTTCTCTGTAACGTGCCATGTTTGTTTTTAAAAACAGAGATACAGTAACTCAGAAATAGCATCTCACACATCAGTCCCTACAGTTCTGTGACATGGGAGTGTTACCTTTTGTTTTGGCCCACCAGCAGAGCTGGCAGCAGATTCAGACAGCGAGGAGGTTGGGAAGGAACATGGGCCAGTTCTGCAATCTGGGGGAAGCTCTGATGAGGACTCTGCGTCGGAGGCAGAGATAGCACCAGGGCCGTCTGACAATTATCAGCTGCCTTCAGAGTCAGACATCAGTGAGACAGATGAACAGCTGGAGCTTGTTTCTGATGTGCACATGCGCAGAGTTGCCAGACAAAGGGAACAACTAAGGAACAACAGTTGACTTGGGAATAAATCCACAGGTGGCTGGAGAATGCCCCCCCCCCTTTAGGGAATAAAAGAGGAGCGAAAGGAGAAGGGTGTTTGCAGGAGACACTTAGTTCATTCCTGCATTCTTGCCAAGTATTGTGGCCTGGCCACATTCTGAGCCTGATAAAGGTCAGTAATTGTGAACTATGTTGAAAGACTGTGGCCCGGGACTTTGCTGGAGAGGAATTCACTGTAAATTAAATAAAATGAATTATCGGGACGAGAACTCAGCTTCGTACTGCTGGGGAAGCCTAGATCAGAACATCTTTACAAAAATGTTTTACCTCAAGTAAATCAAGCTCAGTTCCTTGTGATGATTCCATAACATTTTTCTAGAATCCTACAGTTGAAAAGGATTTGGAGGGTTTTCTAGTACAACTACCTCCCAAGGCAGGAACCCTCAGATCATCCCAGACAAATGACTGTTTAATGTTTGCTTGAAAACCTCCAACGATGGAATATAAGTAACAGACTTCACTTGCATTCTTGGCATGGTGAACAAGTTTCATTTGCCACAACGTCCTTGTACCCACTCTTATTTTAAAATGTCATGAAATTTCAATGTTATTTTTCAATTTTTTTTTACTTTATGTTGGGATAATATGCTCAACATTTAGGAGTATAATGGTAATTATAGTATAGGTAGGAGCTGTTGTACTTTCTGTACTATGAAATGGAAAGAACTGGAACGATGAAGTGGATACACTTGCTCCAAAATTACTTGACTGTATCATATATTGCTGGCTGTCAAGATAATGCTGAGCTGTTCAGAATATACTGTATGTTTGGAAAATTGTATTTACTGAAGGTACTGCAATCCTGCATTTATTTACTTGGAGGTCAAGTCCATTAAACCTATTGCAACTTATTTCTGAGCCTATATTAACTATACTGAAGATGTACTGTACTATTTTTAGCTAATTATTGAATAACCTAAAGAAAGCTAGTCAATTGCAAGAAAAATCATTAATACTGCAAATAGGTACAAGATTTCTTCTTTTTCCAGAATCTTTGCATATTAAAAACAGGGGCAAAGTATCATCTCTGACAAATTGCTAATGGTATATAACCAAGTTGTGACCATTTAGTTACAACAATCTAGAGTTTCCTCAAGGAAGACACAGAAGCCATTTACAAGATCTAGCGGGGCAAAGGACATAAAACATCTGAAATTGTCCTAACAATGAGCCTGGCATTCTGAGGCCGCTGAAAATGTTTTTTTTTTTTTAAAGAAAAAACTTAGGTTCATAAAGCCCAAATTTGAAATTACTGCAAAAATAGGATTCAGTACTTAAATTCTCCATTTTTTTAACAAAACAAACTTCTTTTTTCCTAGCTGCAGCATTCCAAACAAGGACTCTCAAGTGATTGAAGCATGTTATTTCAATAAACATGTCATCTCCAAATAATCTAGCACTATATTTTCCAGTACCTCATACACAACGCTAAAGTAATCAGATTTTCCACTAAAATGATTCATGCAGAAGAGAGTGTATTCTGAGCTTGTGTCATTATCATTGGTAAGTTTGAATTTTGCAAGGAAATACTCTGCTTTTATAACTTCTAGGATTCCCTGAGAGATCAATGTGCTGTCTATATAACTATCCCCACTTGCTGTCTGAAACTGGCTATTTATTTAGACATAAACCAATATTCCTTGTCTTATTTCTCCATATTGCCTCATATCCCATTTTGTTTCTAAATCCTTTAAAAATGGTCTGACCAAAAATGCACATGGTATTCCTAGGAATCCATTTATACACTCATCACTGAGCTCTGAGTAAAAAGAGAGAGAGGTTAACAGTCCCACATGCCAGAGAAAAATAATTTTAAAATTACATTGAAGGTTTTACAACAGGTTTAGCTAGACCACAAAGTGCCCCTGGAGAAAGGATATATCCAAAATTCATCAAGACTTTCCCAAGCATTTGGGAAATTTCCCCCTCCCTCTTTTTCTCTATAGTTTTAGCATGTGCCCTCCTCTTTTTATAATGAATTCTGATCACAGTGAAGATTCAAAGGAACATTTCAGCAGTATGCCAACCTTTGAGACTAGATTCTTAGGTGACAACCTAACACTATACATGCTATTTTGTAATGGGCCATGTGTGCTTGAACCTAATTAGATTCCAGTGCGACTCAATTCTAAGTGCCAACAAGAGAAGTCATTCGTCCAGAAGCACATTGCCCAGAAATCTGGGAGTTGAAGTCCACACATCTTAAAGCTGCCATGTTTGAAAAACACTGGTCTAGATCCAGTCTCCCACATTCCTACTGGGACGAGAGAGAGAAAATCCATGGAAAAAGGGATATTTGCATACCTGGCACAAAAAAGGATATTAGAAGGACAAAAAGAAAATGGTAACTGAACAAGAGTAAAATGGTTCAATTATAAAGAACAATTTGGGAAATTGTAGATATTCAGTTAAGGCAGTTGCTACATAGCAAGTCAAAAATGTAGATTTTTTTTCTGACTATAAAAACAGCAGAAACATGTGTCCCTCTCAAGATCACACAAATGAGTCACATTGCATGAAAAGGTCAGGACAAGTAAAAAAAAAAGATTCAACCGTACTTAGCATATTGTTAGCTTTTGAAATTTAATTCCCAGAGGAGTGGCTATGTTTACAACAAAAACAAAGTGTTCTGTCACTTGAAAGATAAAAAAATCTCTTAATGAATAAGTTTTTGTGGATACCAATCCAGTTCATATAGGTATTTAGAGAAGCAGATTGTGATTATAATTGACAAATGAGTATGGAATAATCAGTTAGCCTATTCAATGATAAAATACTTCGTTGCTGCAATGGTGGTGAACTTAAGAAGTAATTGGTGATGGTGTCAGACCTGGAAGCCATATTTTACATTTGGGCCTTCAGGCCTGCCACATTTTCTACTGTGCGAAAATGGGAGGGGGATTGCATAGAGCATGGGTATATAATCAAAATAACATTCTTTCTCAGAGAGTCAAGGCCACCTTGCCCTGCAGCTTTGTTGAGGTGACTGGAAGGCATTTCCAGTTTTGGATGGTGCCTGATTGGGCCATGTGACCGACATGTGGGTGCTGGGCAGGGGCTTTCTTTTGGATGGGGAAAACCTGGAAACTTTCAGTTTCGGGTTTTCCCAGATGTACCAATACAACATCTCTAATAAAATGGAACTTTGAGGAAACTCAAGCCTCAGAGTCTTCTTTCATTGGGAGTGTTATTTGGAACCCTGATAGATGGATAGTTGTAAGTTCTGAGTTTTCAAACACATTTTTTAGATAAGGCTTCATGTCCAAGCAGAATTCTCAAATGTTCAAAAGAAACAGTGGAAGAACAAAACCTTCATTCTCTTCTTAAATCCCAAAGAATCCTGGTGGATCTTCCTTAAATTTATAAAATTGGTCTGACAGAAAATGGCCATTTTCAAAAGTCAGTGTTATTAGGTACAAGCAAGGCAAAATGAAGGACCCTGCATGGTTGGAAATATGACAAATTGACAGTCTATAAATAATTTATTTGTACACCCACAAATTAGAAGCTTCTGGAGAAAGCATAAAGCAGTTTATCCAAAATTCTAGAACCTTCTTCCTGAGAATCAGAACCTGATGCAATCCAACAAAACAGGCTCTTAGTTTCAGAAGAACAACCCATATTCATGCTCCCATTTTTAAAAAATTCTGCTTACAAACTCTCATACCCTTTCGCCAACTGGAAACCAGATTTGATTTTGCCAAACATATGTGACTAATAATGATCTGGAAATAAAGGCCTTCATCAGCTTAATTTAAAAGGATTCCTCTATTCTAAAATACTAAAATTTTCCATGCATGTGTCCAATCAAGTAAAATAACTGCACAAAGGCTCTTACACTTTTCATTATTTGCAACAATAACATTTCATTAGTTTACATCATAATGTCCTTAGCGCTTTAAGTTAAGGACTATAGCCATGCTTGACAGACGGCATTCTTCACTTATCGACTATAATACATTAGAAGGGAGATGTACTCTGAAGGCAAATAGATCAGAGGTCCCCAACCTTTGGAGCACCAGGGACCAGTTCCCTGGAGAGCTTTTTTCACAGACCAGTGGGGGTGTGGTTTTATGTGCTGCCTACATCCTGCGGATAGGGTTTCGCTTGTTTGTGCGGCCCAGTTTCTGGCATGTTGTGGCCCGGTGCTGGTCCATGACCCATGAAAAAGATCATTTCATAAAATTAGAGGAATATGATGCAGTTCAACTAAGATCGAAGCTTACCTTTGATATGGAACAGATGTAATAGCAGTGGCACTTAAGACTTATATACCACTTCATAGTGCCTTGCAGCACTCTCTAAACAGTGACAGCATATCCTTCCCCCCAAATAATCTGGGTCCTCATTTGACCAACCTCGGAAGAATGGAAGACTGAGTTAACTTTCAGCCAGTCAGGATTGAACTCTTGACAGTGAGCAGAGCCAGCCCACAATACTGCATTCTAACCACTGGGCCAGCATGGTAAGTAAGTAATTAAAGATTACATCACTCTGAAATATAAGGTGACAATTCAGTTAAGCCATGGGTTCTCTGAACCATGGTTAGCTGAGTACGTCAACACTGACTAGATTCACACCCTGGCTTATTGTCTGATGTAAAGGTGATACAGGCAAGTAAACCACATGGTTTAGTTTAGCATGGCATGTGAATCTCATCTCTTATTTCTAGAATAAACACTTCCCAAGAAAAGGCTAGAGAGCTATCACATGTTTAATGGTTCTGAAAGAGAATCAAAGAAAGATGGATGCCTTTCCACCAAGGAGATTCCGATCATTTACCATCAGGGAAAAAAAAGCCTCTAGATCTTACCTGACGGTTGAGCCGGATGGAAAGGATATTGCTAGAATAGCTGTAGTTGCAGATTTCTGTCCCTTTCTTGAAATGATAGACATTCATCTGCTGCGGCTTCGCCCGACTCACCACCACCACCAGACTGCTGGAGAAGAGGCGCTCCACAATGAAAACATCTGGCATTTCATCTGGATGGAAGCGTGAAAAATGGTCATAGAGATAGCAGCATGTTTTGAAAAAGGAAGGGGAAACTCGTTAGCTTCATTTCTATCCTACAATATATTATTCCAATATTGATGAAAAGGCCAAAACGCCGATTCCATTTACTTATTCATTATTGATTCTCCATTATTAATTCCATTCCATCTTTTTGTTCCAAACTCAAAGGCAGCTCTCAATATGTTCTGACCGAGGCTTCCCAAGAGCATCAAAGAAACTCGTCCCCGTAAAAATCCCTTTTATTAATTTACAGTGAATTCTCTTCATCACAGCTGGCAAAGTCTTTTAAAGGAGGATTTACAGCCACACACCCTATCTGGCTTGGAGAGCTGACAGGCAGATATCTGCAGATATCTTGGCAAGGAATTTCGGGAGAGTCACGAACCAATTAGCGGTCTGGCAACTCTGCGGATGCGCACACTGGGAACAGGCTCCAGCTGTTCATCTGCCTCACTGATGTTTGACTCTGAAGGCAGCTGATAGCTAGCATACGGCTCTGGCCCCCTCTCTGCCTCCGACACAGAGCCCTCATCAGAGCCTTCCCCAGATTCCAGGACTGGCCCATGTTCCTCCCCAACCTCCTCACTATCCGAATCTGCTGCCAGCTCTGCTGGCCAGGGGCTGGCCACAACACAATAATAAATGCAAAATGATGGAACAAAAATGCAATGAACATGAAGACCAAATTAGCCATTAAAATCATTATCAATTAAAAGACATACATATCTAAATACTGTTTACTTAAACACTGGGAGAGTGGAAATAAATACAGTATTTAAGGAACTGCTTCGCAGCCTAGGAGCCACACTAAAAAAGAACCAAATAATCAAATGGCAGCATCTTTTTCCTAATATCTAAGTAAAGGGCAGGTTCATAGCGGAAGAGGTGGTCCTAAAAATAATCTGTCCCTAATCTGTTTCACTTCAAAGCTCAACACCAGGGCTTTAAATTATGCCTTTATTAGATGCTGCAGCTACAATATATTAGAAGGGAGATGTATTGTGAAGGCAAATGGATCATTTCATAAAATCAGAGGAATAGGAAAGACTGCAATCTTTCTGCAGGCAACTGATAGCCAGAGCAGATACAGGTGCCGTATAATGCCTATACTTTGCAATGGTAAGTAGCTTGGACACCAGCTATAATTTAACATAGAAAACCATAATTAACCACAAGAAGAAAGAGAAACTTTCATGTAATCCTTGTAACCATACCAGCAGAGGTAGTGATCAGCAAATCAGCCTGAGGCTAGAAATTCTAATGCTAATGTAAAGCTACCATATCTGAGCTACAAGAATCTGGATCAGCATTGCATGACAACAAAAATATAAATTTCTGAATCTATGCAGACCAGGTAAGGTAGCCCAAAATCTGATGATGTTCTGTGAAAAGAAGAACACTTTAATATACTTAGTAATATACAATAGCTGGTATTACTTGGGGCCAGTCATTCTCAGCCCAACCCACCTCACAGGGTGGTTGTGAGGAAAATAGGAGGAGGGAGGTGTGCTGGATATGTTCACCACCTTATTTGTAAAAATAGTAAAGGCAGGATACAAGCAAAGAAACAAATGATATATTATTGCTTTTAGGCACATTAGAAACTGGGCTTTTGTTAATTTAGAATGGCCTTTATATATGGCAGAATCACTTTCTTTAGAAATACTCCTTGCCAATCCAGGTAGCTGAGATAATGAAGAAAGGTTATTTATATTAAATGATTAAGTAAATGTATTATCATTAAACTTGTAGCTGCCCAACTCTTAAAAAACTGTGGGCCGCTCACATCAAAGATGTTACAATAAAATCAATAAACATAACAAGATAAAAATAGCTTTTAATTAAAAGGACGAAAATTCTAACTTTCCATCAGCATGTTCTACACTGTATTTGCAGCATTTCATGTTAAAGAGCTTTAAACAACCAGCTTTAAAAATCAACTATCTTCTATCATGAAATGTAGCAACACAGAGATATCCCTTTGTCTGCCTGAGTCACATGTAAAAATACTTGGAATTCTGTCCTTGAATAGTATGTTGTGTTCTGATAGTAAGAATATAGTTCAATATATCCTGACCTACCAGGTTATGTTGAGTCACAAGTTCTACAGCTTGACTTTACACAAAACTGTTGAAATTCCCTCTCTTCCTTTCCTGAAGTCAAACTATTTATTCACCGTTATTCTCTTTTAATTTGTCATGTAAAAAGGTAGAAATAGTCCTCGAAGTACAACAGTTTATTTAGTGACCGTTCAAAGTTACAACAGTACTGAAAAAAGTGACTTATGGCTGTTTTTCACTTATGACTGTTGCAGCATCCCCATGCTCATGGGATAAAACATTTCAGATGCTTGGCAACCAACTCATATTTATGATGGTTGAAGTCCCGTGATCATGTGATTATCTTTTACAACTTTTTGACAAGCAAAGTCAATGGAGAAGCTAGATTCACTTAACAACCGTGTTACTAACTTAACAACCACAGTCATCCTCTAAACAACTACGGCAAGAAAAATAATAAAATCAGGCAAAACTCACTTCACAGCCATCTCACTTAGCGACATAAATTTTGGGCTCAACTATAGTCATAACCTGAGGACTATCTGTACAAATTTTAGGTTTTTCAGAAATTTAAGTTCACTGTCTGCACCTACATTCTGATGTAATTTTATCTACTTGCAATAGCGTGTTTTCAACATACCCGCATATATAAGATTGTACGGCACCTTGCTTTATTCTTTTATAATGGCTTCTTTCAGATATAACCGTTGACATATTAACCATATCTGCCCAACTTGGAGCAGTCTTTAAATGTCATCAGAGTTTTAATATTTTATGTAGCTTTGTTGCCATTTAATTGTTGTACAGTATTACACTCCAGATATGGTACTTTACTTCACTATTAGAAATTCTAGTCCCAGATTTGCATTTTGTCCTCTTTCTTTCCTGGCCCACTGGCCTGGATGAGATAACAATTTCTATTTCTGCATGAGATTAATCACAGTGCATTTATACCTCTCTGCTGCCATTTCGTCACTACAGCTCAGATACTGTTGCCCTAACTTTGAGGATTAGCAATACCCAACAGCTTCTATGAGAGCTGCTCCAACAAACCTAAAGCTCAGTCAATAATATACTGCACTGTTGAACTATAAGATGCACCGGAGTATAAGACGCACCAAGATTTCGAAGAAGAAAACATGAAAAAAAAGTTTTTGCCCCCAGGAGCACTCCGCAGGCCTTCAAACCCTCTGTGCATCCCATTTTTGTGAAAAATGAACCTGTTTTTGGCCTCCCAAATCCCCTAGGCATCCCATTTTTGCCCTCCCCAGCCCCCAGGAATACACTGCAGGCCTCCCAAGTCCTCTGCACACTCCATTTTTATTTAAAAAGAGGCATGTTTTGGGCAAAAACAAGATGCACTGGACAGGGTTACAGGAGTCCAAAAATGGCCGTATCTGGTGTATAAGATACACTGACATTTCCACTCACTTTTATGGGGGGATGCGTCTCATACTCTGAAAAATACAGTAATTTGAAGCATAAAACTCAGAGAAGAAAACTTGAAGTTAAATTCTATATATTACATTTATATCCTGCTTTTCAGATTGTTTCTAACATTTGGTTAGTCAATTTTTTTTTCTGTACACAGTGTTGGTTCACATCAGGTACTGTATTTTTTGGAGATAAGACGCACCGGAGTATAAGATGCACCAAGGTTTTGAAGAGGCAAATTAGAAAAAAATATAGGTAGGTAGATAGAGGGATAGAGAGGGAAAGAAAGAGAGAGAAATACGGTAGATAGATAGGGAGAGAAAGGGGTAGGTAGGTAGGTAGATAAAGGGATAGAGAAAGAAAGAGAGAGAAAGAGAGAGAAATAGAGAGAGAAATAGAGAAATACAGTAGGTAGATAGGGAGAGAGAGAGAGAGAAGGTTTAGATAGGAAGGTAGAGGGATAGAGAAATAGAAAGAGATAGAGAAATACAGTGGATAGGTAGAGAGGGAGGGAGAAAGAGAATAGGTAGGTAGATAGAGGGAGAGAGAGAGAGAGAGAAATACAATAGATAGGTAGAGAGGGAGAGAGTAGATAGGCAGGTAGGTAGAGGGATAGAGAAAGAGAAATACAGTAGATAGGTAGGGAGAGGGAGAGAGTAGGTAGGTAGGTAGATGTTTCCAGGTGTATTTATCCATGTGCTGGACAAAGAAATCACTGACAATCTGCAGCACCAAAGTCTTTGTTTCTGCTGGTACAGCACTTGATCAATCTAATTCTCATCAATCACTTTAAGTAAAGAGCTTTCCGAAAGGAAAAAAAAAAGTTTTTGCACTCTGCAAACCTCCCCAAAATGGCCAGTTTTTCATGAAAATGAGCCCGTTTTTTTTAAAGGCATGAATAGCCTTGGGGGAGCTTGCAGAGTGCTCCTGGGGGGGATGGGGAAGCCAAAAAGAGCAAATAATGGCCAGTTTGTCGTGAAAACGGGCCCGGTTTTTGTCAAATAATTACACGCATAGCCTTATGGAGGCTTATTGAGTGCTGCTGGGGGCTGGGGGGGACAAAAATGGCCTATTTTTTGCTTATTTCTGCCCTCCCCAGCCCCCGGGAGCTCTCTGAAAGCTTCCTAGAGGCTCCGCATGGCCATTTTGGTGAAGGGGCAGAGCTTTGGGAGGCAAAAAAATGCTGTTTTAGATGTATAAGACGCATCCAGATTTTCAGCCTCTTTTTTGAGGGAAAAAGGCGCATCTTATACTTTAAAAATACATTATGTTTTAAGTGATGCGTTTTCTTTATGGTTTCTGCTTATTTCTGCATTTTTGGGAGAGCTAAATCTTGGGAAGCAGCATTATCTATTCATTTTGAATTTTGTAAGTGGAACTCCATGGGAAATATTCCTGTGGTCAAATCTACACTATGTTTGGCTATTTAAGTGTAACTTAGTAACAATCAAATATGAAAAAGAAAAGTAGTTGCATGGAAACAATTTAACAGAAACAACAGTTCTAAAATGGCTGGAATAAGATTCAATGAACTCACTCACTAAAATAATATTTATCTGATGTGGGTGCAATCTCATGGAGTAGGAGAACTCATGCAACTCATGCACTCAAGAAAGCCCAAGAATGTGAAAAGTTCCATTTCTGCCTTCTATAAAACAAACTTGCAGTTCTATATCAACCAAAGCTAGATCAACTAGGATTAATCTTAATTATAGTTAGCAAAATCAGTTAAATTCAAAACGCAATTAAGCTAGCTTGCATTTAATAATAATAATAACACTTAAAATTTACTTGTACAATTTGTTTGGACAAAACACTAAACTATGCTAAGTCTAAAACAGAAACTTCCAATTTCTAGGCTGCTATGCTAGAGACATTACTAGTGCCACTCCCATAAACTCAATGGTAGCATAATATGTATCAGGATGCAGTTATTCTGTGCTAAACAAACCTGATTTACTTAGATCTAACTGCATTGTTTAGGAATAAAGGCTCTTTATGTTTCAGCCATCTGCTTATAATCACCTCTTCTACCACCTCATGAATTGTGCTTTCTCAGCAATGACCTTGCCTCAAATAAAGGCAAATATACATGTCCCAGGCTAATGTTGCAGGATCCAACCAGAGTCAATCACTGGGACTAGAGGTTTAGTCCTCTAAGCTTTCAGACTGGTCCTCCTGAGGGAACATCTCCCCCCACCTCTCTGTGCACTGCCCTGTTCTCAATCATCTTATTTTAAAAAATTATAATAAAATAATTTGTTTTCCTGAATAACTAAATGAACAAGCAGAGTGTTTTTTAACTTATTTGTTTAATTGGGTTTCTTTTTATCTTGTTTTAGGATGTGTGGAAAACAGATCATGTTTTATGGTCATATTTACACAGAAATATTGATAACTCAAAAAGGTTCACAAGCTTTTTAATCAACACTGATACTGGTATCAAACTGTAAAAGAATTTCCCACACTGTTTTGATTTATTTAGCATGCAACTGTCCCTTTAACACAGCTGCATCTGGATGGCTGCTTGAATACAAGTAAGGCCGCCGCCGAGAAATGTCATCTGTTTTCTAGCAGGAAATATAAAATGAATTGCTCATTTGGGGCACATTAATGTGCTACAATGCAGAATAAAAATTATCATCAACTACTATTTTGCCAAAACACACAACGGACTTACTGCTTTCATGGACCTGATCCAGCTGTTCCACAGAACTCAGAGAAAAAAGTCTGTATCCAGTTTTGGTTCCAATGGCCAAGGAACTAGAAAAGACAAAAATGACACTAATTACATGCAGCAAAATACACACACACACACAATCTTCATGGATTACTGCCTTGTTGTGGTGAAGGAGCTTGTGTAGATCAATGAAACTATGAGCTATGCCATACAGGGCCACCCACAGATCATAGCAGAGAGCTGTGACAAAACGGGATCCACTGGAGAAGGAAATGGCAACCCACTCCAGTATCTTTGCCATGAAAACCCCATCGACAGTACCAAAAGGCCAAAAGGCCTGGAGGAATGTTGTCCATGGGGTCACGAAGGGTCAGACATGACTTCACAACTAACAAGAAGAAGATATGCCCCATATAAAACACTCTTGGAATATTTGGGTATTTTTTCCACAAAGAGATATAGTGGAAGACTAATTAGGAACCACAGGCATGTCACTCTGAATATATGAAAAAAAATCAGACAATATAAAGAAATAGTTGTCACACTAATTCAGTTGTTTGAAGACAGAGTTATGGAAAAGTCCTTGAGAAATCATTTTGCCCATGAGTGGATCAAACTCTTTTTAAAGAGGAATTATTATTAGAAATACTAAAATATATAAAGAACAAGGAGTAAGATGTTTTTCATGAAACTACTCTGAAAACAAAAAAATGGAAAGCAAAATAAAAGCCAAGGAAAGAGAAAGATAATGAAGAATGAATGGAAGATGATGCAGCTTTGAGCAAATTATTAATGAGAAGCCAGATTTCTGCCACTAAAGTTAATCACGAGATAATCAAACACAGTACCAGATTTCCCTCATGATTTTTTTTCTTGGCAAGTTAGTAAAATGCTCTTAATGCATTTTTATATTTAAACAAAATACCAAAATCCAAAAAATGAAAAAAGGCTGAAAATGTCATTCTTTCCAAGTGAGGCCATTTTGTCATTAATATTTCAGTCTTGGTGTTTATTATTATGTATGATCACAGATCAAAACAGTACAATGGCATTAAAAATAAAAAATATATTATCAATAACGTTTTTTAATTGGCTGCTCTTGGGGCCATCCCTCCTCCAACTGATTTATTGGGCTATTTCTGCAGAAAAATACAATTACTGCAGAATGCAAAACTGCAGAAAAAACAATTACTGCCTACCTGCCTTCCTGAGGACCTGTATACTGCACGATTCAAAAAGAGGGCAGTGAAAATATTTACAGACCCTTCGCATCCTAGACATAAATTGTTTCAACTCCTACCCTCAAAACCAAAAAAAACCAAGTTTTTTTCCCAAACGCCATCACTCAGCTAAACAAATAATTCCCTTACCACTGTCAAAATATTCACTAAGGCTGCATTACTATTACTATTAGTCTTCTCACTGTTCCTATCACCCATTTCCTCCCAGTGTAGGACTGCAACTTTGTGGCTTGTATCCTTACTATTTATATTTATATTGATTGTTACCTGATTGCTTATTTGTACCCTATGACTATCATTAAGTGCTGTACCTTATGATTCTTGACGAATCTATCTTGTCCTTTTACATACACTGAGAGCATATGCATCAAAGACAAATTCCTTGTGTGTCCAATCACACTTGGTCAATAAAGAATTCTATTCTATTCTAGTTGTTTAATCAGGCTATATCTGAATCTGAGACAGATATAGGTATTATTGTCTATTCTCACATGAACTGAATGGGATACAGATTTTGTGCCGAATAGAAAAGAAATCCCTGAGATCTGATATTAAGTGCAGGACAATTCAATAATCAGAGCTGATGCAACTAATCTCCAAAAGGCAGCCAGTCTATTTTATGATCTTGTTGCCATTACCAACTGCCATCAAGCTTCCATAACATTTAACAGCAATTCTGTTGTTTGATGTTAATAGGAATTATAATACTTTCTCTAAAGAGCTACTTCCAAATGCAAGATGCTGTAGAAAGTTTATCTATTCTATTTTTTCTTATTCTCTATTCCTAGCATGTACAGAAAGATTAAAATCTTTGGGTTAGATTCTTACATCCTCAAGGATCACACAAATACTTAATCCATGTCATTGAAAGAACTGATCTGTTTGGATAGCTTCAAATAAGCAGAATAGCTTCAAAGGAAGTGCAAAAACAACACAGAACACACATAGATTTGAATGAATTTGAAAAGCTAATTCAAAATATGGAGTGTTTGCATATTTACTTTATTTACTAATTGCTGGTAAAATATGACTCAGAAATCAAAGAAAGACTACTGTACAAAGAACTAATCTCTACAAATTGTTTCGCATTCAGGAGATATATTTACCTTGGTTGATCATCTTATGCAAGAGGATCTCATATGACATCAAATATACCGTAAGACTAAAGGAAGGACTAATGAATAGATGCTGGATGGAGATCCAGCTTTCAGAATTAAGTGCTATCTGAATATCCAGCTGAATATTCACAGAAAGTTAACAGATCCTGGGAGAATGCCAAATAGTCAGCCATAATTAATTTTGTTGCCACCCAATTTGAAAATTCATATGAATAATCCCCATTAACAGCACCATTTAAAATGCAAATATGTTATTTACAGCAAAGTTGCTACATACAGATTCTCCATTTGCTAAGTATTTGATTGCAAACCTTTTTTGGTTCGTGTGCACTCGGGGAGTGCAGGGGGGTTGTGCCGGGCGTGCCACATCCATAATGCTATGTGCACGAACAGCGCCCCCCCCCCAATTTTTGGTAAGCTTTTTTTACCCTCCCCAGGCTTCGGAGGCTTTATAGGAGCCTGGGGAGGGCGAAAACAGCCT